TGGTAGCGAAAGATATATCTGGTCTGGTGCAATTAGCAAGATACATAAGAGCTCCTATTGCACTCATATATGGTATTTCAGGACCAAGTATTTCTTCATCTTCTTCACAAGTTCGAAATGAATCATTTTCAACATCTAATGTTCGATTGACCATTGGGGTACTAAGGGGATTAGCCTTGTCCATATTGAATCGTTTCAATATTCTTTTAGTGTAATTAGATTGATGGACAAATATCCCATTTTGGACTTGTTCTATTTGCAAGCCGAGACAATATTTGGTTTGTCCGAGATCTTTCATTGCAAACTCGCCTTTCAGTAAGGTGACTGCTTCTTGGATTTCATTTGTAGTCCCAATAATATTAAGATCATCGACATAAACAACAATTATCACAACTCTATCTTGTGATCTTTTTATAAAGGCACACAGGCATATTTGATTATTTATGTATCCCCGTTTTAGTAATTTCTCACTTAAACAATTATACCACATACACCCGGATTGTTTCAATCCATACAATGATCTTTGCAGTTTTATCGCACATAACTCTTTAGGTTTGGACTTTAGTGCTTCGGGTATTCTAATTCCTTCTGGAATTTTCATATAAATGTCAGCATCTAGCGATCCCTTATAAGTAAGCAGTCACAACATCCATGAGACGCATCTCAAGATTTTCATTGATGGCTAAACTAATCAAGTATCTGAAAGTAATTGCATCCATAACAGGGGAATATGTTTCATCACAATCGATCCCAGGCCTCTGGGAGAATCCATGTGCTACAAGGCGAGCTTTATATCTTGTGATCTCATTTTTCTCATTTCTTTTTCTGACAAAAACCCATTTGTATCCAATAGGTTTTATGTCTTTCGGTATAATGGTAATAGGTCCAAAAACCTTTCGTTTATTAAGTGAATATAACTCGGCTTGAATAGCACCTTTCCACTTGTCCCAATCATGTCTTTTCTGACATTCAATCATAGATTTTGGTTCAGGATCCTCAACCTCTTTGTCAATTTCTTGTGATACCATATGTGCGAATGCATCATCAATATTTATGATCTCATCACGCTTCCAAAGATTCCCATTGTTTACGTAATTGATGGAGATTTTAATATTTTCATTTCGCCCCGAAAATTTTCCATCATCTTGATTCTTTTTCAAATTCGAGTTATGAATTTCTCTTTCCTTTCGAGGATTCTTATCTTTAGACCCCACTGGTCTTCCTCGTTTTAAGTGAGTCTTTAACTCATTTGCCATATCGTCATTTTCCATTTCTTTTGGAATCTCAATTCGAGCAGGGGCATGTACGGCTGCCACATGTGATTTGGTCACCCTTTTTAAATCAGTAAATGCATCTGGCAATTGATTTGCGATATTCTGCAATGTATGATCTTTTGAACTTCTTGCTCTATTTTTTTGGTGGGAGGATCAAGATATGATAGTGATGATGTTTTCCATTCAATATTTCTCTCAATTGACCTTTCATTCCCACCTAAGGTGGGAAACAATTCTTCATTAAAATGACAATCATCAAACCGAGCTGTAAAAACATCACCTGTTTTTGGCTCAAGGTATTTGATTATTGATGGAGATTCATATCCAACATATATCCCCAACCTTCTTTGAGGCCCCATTTTTGTACGTTGGGGCGGAGCAATTGGTACATACACTACACAACCAAAAACTCTTATATGTGCAATATTTGGTTCTCGACCATATGCCAACTGTAATAGCGAGTATGTATGGTGTGCACCTGGTCTTATTCGAATTAGATCATCTGTATGCAGAATCGCATGTCCCCATACTGAAGTGTGGAGTTTTGTCCTCATTATCAATGGTCTAGCTATAAGTTGCAGTCGTTTAATCAATGATTCTGCTAGACCATTTTGAGTGTGAACATGTGCCACAAGATGTTCAACATCAATTCTCACTGCCATATAATAATCATTAAATGCTTGAGATGTAAACTCACCAGCATTGTTAAGTCTGACTCTTTTGATAATATAATCTGGGAATTGAGCCCTTAATTTAATAAGCTGGGCAAGTAATTTAGCAAATACCACATTTCTAGTGGATAACAAACTCACGTGAGACCATCTACTAGAGGCATCAATTAACACCATAAAATATCTGAATGGACCACAAGGTGGATGAATAGGTCCACATATTTCACCATGAATCCTTTCTAAAAATAATGGTGCTTCATGTCCGACTTTAGTATGCGATGGTCTCATTATCAACTTCCATTGAGAACATGAGGCACATGTCAATTCATGTATTTGCAATATCCTCTGATTTTTTAATGGATGCCCACTAGAAGTTTCAATAATTCTTCGCATCATTATCGAGCCAGGATGACCAAGTCGATCATGCCAAAGTTTAAACATTTCATTCATCTTTGAATTTGTTGCAGCATAAGCCTCGATCATATTAATCTGGGTGTAATATAAACCCGAGGATAGAATAGGTAACCTCTCCAAAACACATTTATTTCCCGTATTATATGAGGTAATGCAAAGATATTCAACTCTCCCTTTATTCATTGTTTCAACGTGGTATCCGTTCATTTGGATATCTTTAAAACTCAACAAGTTTTTTGTTGATTTTGGGGAGAATAATGCATCATTCAATGTAAATTTTGTACCTCCCATCATAAAAAATAGGCTAAATTGCAAAAACTAGCCACTAACTTAGACGGGTTGGCAGTTTTAGCCACTTTCTTTCCATTTTGGCACTTTTAGCCAAAACATTTTAAAAAATCGGTCTTTCTACCCAAATCCAGCCGAAGTCGTCGGAACTCCGCCTGAGAACACCGAAAATGCCAGCGTGGAACTACACGTGGACAACTTAATCCACCTCAGTTTACCTGTCTATAAATACCCCTTCCACGCGTATCACCCTCACATTTCACAGAAAAAATTGGGGAAAAATCGGGCCCAATTCTCTCAGTTTCTCTCTCCTCTAATACTCTCTCCCTCCCCAATTCTCATCTCCTTCATTTATCTACAAAAAAAAATACAGAAAATCCTACAAAAATACAGAAAAAAATCGAGTTCATAACATATACCAGCCTTCAAGTCCACAATAATTGAAAAGTAAATAGAAATCGATACATACCATGGATGATTGGGAACTCTTTTGCTTCTTGTCGACTTGAATATGGCGGCCTTCTGGAACGACAAATGAGATTCGTAACGATATTGGCGAAGCACAATGAAGGGTCTCTTTTGTGTTCACTGATTTATTGAGGTTACGTGCTTTTCAGTTTTTAGCTTTTTGTGAGTCGGTAACTCTCCTTTTTGGTGCTTCCTGGGCGCAATAAAGTCTGTATGTGGATCTTGTAAATTTTATTACAATATTACATCCGTCAGATATTATTATATTTATTTTCTCTTTCTGGAAATTACTATTGATTTGGAATTTGGATTGTCTTAATTAATTGAAAAAAAGATCTACGAGATTGAATGGAAGAGTGAGGAACCATGAATTTAATTTCATTTGTCCGATTCAAAATGGAGTCTCTTCCAGTGGAGGTCGTTGGGAACATCCTGTCGCGGCTCGGGGCCGCCCGTGATGTCGTGATTGCATCTGCCAATTTTAGGGTTTCAAATTTGGGCCCGATTTTTCTCCATTTTTTTCTGTGAAATGTGAGGGTGATACGTGTGGAAAGGGTATTTATAGACAGGTGAGCTGAGGTGGATTAAGTTGTCCACGTGTAGTCCACGCTGGCATTTTTGGTGTTCTCAGGCGGAGTTCCGACGACTTCGGCTGGATTTGGGTAGAAATACCAATTTTTTAAAATGTTTTGGCTAAAAGTGTCAAAATGGAAAGAAGGTGGTTAAAACTGCCAACCCATCTAAGTCAGTGGCTAGTTTTTGCAATTTAGCCTAAAAAATATGGCTTTTCCAGAACCCTCAATTATCTTTGCACTTCTGGATATTGTGTTTACTTTTGCTTTATTTAATT